TAACAACATCACAATTAACAAAATGTCATGACCTACCCTTCAACTGGGGACAGTTGCGATTTTTTGTCCGGGGTGGATGTCATGCATGGTATGTGATTCATACCATGTCAGATATATATAGAGAGTGATAAGGAAGATATGAGAGACTGTCTAGCCCTTTGTCACTAAGTTACCTCTCTATTTTTCCTTTATTTCATTGTCTTGTATTTTATTTCTCACTTTACAGGCTTATTTTACCTTGTATTTGTATCAAGCATGTGACCTTCTGTTTATTTCTCATTGTTTATTTTTATTTGGCTTCTTTCAGCCACCAAGTTTTGTATCTCTATTTATTTCTGACTGTTTATTTGTATTTGGCTTCTTTCAGCCACCAGCTTTTATTTGTCATCACATCATGTGACTGGGAAATATTCTGGTTTGTAACATTATTTAAGCTGACTCAGCATGTTTAGTCATGATTGGCCATGCTTTGTAACAACATTTAACATGACTCAACATGTTTAGTCATGGTTTGTCATGGTTTCTAATTTCTTTGTAAGATTACACTGTATTTGTAATGTACTTAGTAATAAGCTGATTCATCACCTGGTTTGTAAGCCACATTCTTACCAATCCATCTGATTAATCATGCTTAGTAAGGGGGTTCCCAAAAGGTATAAAAGGACCCCATTTTCACCCATGAAATACAATCCTCCCACTTGACTCTTATCTCAAACCGTGTGAGACCACTAAGACTTAAAGTGCAGGCCAATATAAGTGCCTTGAGGTAATCTAAGATATCATTATCTATTCTAAAGTTATATACTACCTTACAGGGGTCGACTATATAACTTTCATTATCGTTATTCTACTCTAGGTTATATACTACCTTACAGGGGTTGACTATATAACCATTGAACAGCTCTCATTCTAAGCTTTACGTGTATTCATAAGACTCTCCCTTTCAACGGAAAGTGAGACACATCTAAGGACGACAAAGTTGAAACAGACTTTCATAGGTTGAAACACGACCTACTAGGCTGAAACAAACCTAATGAATTTATCCAGAACACAGAACATTCCACAACAACTTCGTATAAGACTACACAAGAAGAGGACAACAAACTAAATCCTCCCAAGAACTCACCACGTTACCTCCCACGAAGTAGAAAAGTCGGAGACCGTGGACTTAAGGACTGGCAAGAAGTCTTCACCGTGTATAATTGTGTTGTCATTATACACAACTTTCATATAAGACCCTTAAGTAACAAGACACCGCTTTATGGGTTGACCCCCCACATTAAGCCAAACCTCCATATGAAACACGTCCAATACACGGGTGTACCAGTAAGGGTGATTAGGTATTATCTCGCCTGATAACACCATGATATCTCCATGGGTTCTGGGATTGATTGTGTCATATTTGCGCCATAAGTCATAGGTCGTGTAGTGGACTTGCATGATCTGCACCGAATATATCGTGTTATCAGGAATAATGACGGAGTTGCGTTCTGCGTCTGTGAAGACATGGTTGCAATAGCTAACATCGAGCTCCCGTAGTCGATAGAGTATATGGTCCTTAAGTTTGGGTATAAAATTCTGGCAATTTCTGTGAACCAATTATAGAATACGTTTCAGATAGAATGCAATACCTTGACAGCCGGATCCCCGTCGTGTTCTCGGAGAAAGGTGAAAATCTTTACGGGATTGTTTCGATTAGTTGCAATGCAGTGATGCTGATCAGATGACGCTGGTGGGGGGGTGTCGTCCTGCAATTGGTTGCCAGAAGAGAGCATGCCAGCTTCTGCCATCTGCCGTAATACACAACACCTACGCTCATGCTTAGCTAGCTGCTGCAGGGTGTTTATCTTACTGGTCAGCGGATAAAATGCCTTAAGGGCTCGATGAGCAAGTTCTCCCTAACTAAACTTAACTTCAGGTCAAAAATATGAACGTCGACAGTACATACAATTTGAGTAGTAAAGGAGTCTGTGGTCCCAAAGAGCCTGATGGATGCCACATAATCACCCATTGCATGAAACTTATAGGTGGACAGATTGAACATTTTGATCCTGGGCCCGCTCGGTTCTGGAGGGGCACAATTTGAGCGTTTGGTGGCTTTTCTTTGCCGAGCTGCTCTTTCTTTGGGTAATTCCAAAGTGTTGAAGGCAGTGCAAGTAAAGCTTCGAAAGTTTTGTAACTTCTGTGACAATTTCTTGAACATTTCTGCAAGAAAGGTGAGCGCAGAGTCCAAGTGGAGTCTGAGCTTGGCAAGTGCATGCCATTGTGCAAATCAGTAAAGAAGGGACTGCACAACCGCATCATGCTCGATGGGAAACAATCCCTCGAACACGGGAATAGCGCACTGACAAAAGTTATCAGGGAGTCAAACACATAAAATAAATGAGCAGAAAGAACCTGTAAAATATCTTCAAAATCACGCACTGCTAACCTCTTCATCTCAGATGTATTATTTGAAAACTTGCGAATAACCCCGTTACCAAAAGTCGGGACCTGCCGAAACCTAGAGTTAGATTGAGAGTTGACCGTCAGGATTCATTACCAGGCAACGTCACTCCTTACGAATTGCTCGTACCTGTTATCGAGGGCCGCGACAAGCTCACTACCCTGAGGAAGGGCATAGAGGAGTCTAATAAGGTGAGTAAATAACCCCATCCAGGTACCTAACTCGCACTCGTGCATTAAGTCGACAACGAGCATCCGGAATGGATCAAGGCCGAAAGGCCCAAGCTTAGCGGCAAATTGATTCTGTAAATAGATACGTGAGCTGACCATAAAGTGATCATGAAGCAATTTCTTATGAGAATAGGCACCCAGGAACCCCCACCAAGAGCATGGTCGACCTTTACACCATCTACAGTATTCGCGCATCGGTAAATGAAATCACGGGCCTCAATTACCTTCGCCATAGTGTAAACTCGAAGGTTTCTCAAGCGATTTTTCATGTCCATAGGGAGTCCAAGAGAATTGAACATATTTTTCGGTGTGAAACAGCGAGGGCACGGGCACAGGCCCATGTCCTTAATAGTAGCGATCAATACTCTATAGATTTATGAGCAATTCTACTCTCTTGAAAATTCACGAAAGAACATACTTTTCAGGGTAATCAGCGGAATAAGTGAAGATTCGAGGAAAAACCCTTTGAGCTACACCGTCGGCGCACACCAGAACAATGCCATGATGATACGCGGAAACAAAGTCTTCATCCAATAAAATTTCCCAGCAGGAATGAAAAAGCTACCTACGACAGTGTGCATGAAGGGACACCATGCCGGTTTTCGACATACCACGTAAGGTACTCAGAAGATCCTTAATACTGTCAGGAAGCTGACATGGTCAACTAAAGTAGACATAATTGTGGCATTTGAGGAAACTTACTGAAGGTAAAAACCCTACCAGGTGACAGGCTCCTGATCGAGGGGATGATCACGCGTATTTCGTCAGGTTCCCGAAATACAGGTAAAGTGGCCAGGTCTTCGCAGTCCCAAAGTTTGCCAGATGTGTGGCATCCGAAAAAAACATAAGTCCCGCGATGACATGCTCCAATGAGCACCCAGGCTCCTTTGGAAGCTTATCCTGAGCATCTAACCATGCATCAGAGGTATAAAGTTCGTCAAAGACTCGTTCTTGGTGGCCGTCCATAGGATCTCTCCACAAGTGCTTGAAAGGTAAGAGATGAAACGCCCTTGCTTGGACATCTGCAAACGCCGCACATATGACTTCGACAAGAGGGCGATGGTGAAATTCGTGAATGGTGTAAGGCTGAGGACCGTCCTCTTTTGACTTCATTGGAATGTTAATGGTAACACTGCTCTCAATCCAGTCATCTGGAAAAGTAGCCTTTCTCCCCTTGTCGTCCTTGTCCAGTTCCTGCAAGCTGCGCCTCACAGAGAAGTTTTCAAGATGTTCGCGTTTGAAATCATCTGCCAGTGTTACGTCTCTAACAAGGTGCAAGACTTTGGTTTCGGATACCAAATGACTACCTGAATTCATCCAAGATATCAGACAATATATCGTCATGTTAGGAAAGGGGTAAGGCGGCGCCTGGACGTTTGGTGTAGGATCGGCCTGAACAACTGTCGGAGAAGATTTTGCGAGTAGCTCAGACGGAACAAACCTGTCAGGCTCAAAGGAAGGCCAATGAGGATATAGTCGACAGAGTCCAAATGAGCTGAAGGACGTTTGCAGGGTATCTCTCAGCATTAAAAGAATGTGTTGGATTCTGGATCGGGCAGGTAATGCAGCCACTTGCGCTGCTGGGATGGTGGTATTATCGGAGTGATTGAGTTCATCGTGCGAAGGCTGGATATCATCGAGAGGTCTCGGAATTCGCACCCTTGGAAGTAAGGGTTCCTCTTAAGAATCGAAAAAATTTGTGAATAGGTCAGAACTTGCAAACAAGACACAGACCTGAGTTGGTATTGTCACACATGTTTCCCAAATTGCTACCCATCTCAAAATCAATTTTGTTGTTTTGTTCCTTCTCTACATCAAGGATCTCGGCAGTACTACATAATTCGTGAGCCAAAGATATCGGCTTGAGAAGGCTGCAAGGCGTAATTGGTTTGAGATTCGGACGGTCTCTCACATATTGGACAGCTGAGAGACTCTGATATTGACTCTGGTTGAACATGCTATTTTAAAGCAAGCTTGGAGTTACTCACTGATTGGCCAGGATTTGAGCCTAAATTTGAAAACACCGCCTCTTTTGCGCGGTCTTGTCTCTTCTGGCTTGCGAGAGTGCTGGTTCTCTTGTAGAAGTGACAGAACGTCCGATGTCTGGTAAGTCCGCGATTGTCTGTTGTCCTTTCCCAAGAGCAACCAGGTGCGCCGCAGGCCACCATTGAAAGAAATAGAAGAAACCCTGTCCAAAGAATTCCAGAACAGCGCATTGCCGCTGCCCACACTTGAAGATCGTTCCAGTTGGTTCAACTTGTTCTACTTTGCTCAGAGTTTTGCTTATATAATCATTAAGGCGGGAGTACCATTGGTGGAAAGCAATGATAATTCACTCATGTTCTGCTTGGCCCCCTGGAGAATTTATCCACAGTAGAGGAGACCCTGGTATGGGACAAGGTGCACGTCCTTAGAAGATGCTACTGGATTAATTGGCTGATAACCATGCTTTTGCCACCAGGCTGCAGAATCTATTGCCAAAATAGCTGAAGTTCTATCTACTCCGCAAATCGAACAGTTTTACATTCCACTCCTGAAACGGCTCTCACAGGGAGAGTGGTTTACATCGTGCACCTCTTCTGCTGCGCTGTATCCTCCAGTTTACAACAAAGTATCGTGGTCAATCCAGGAGGATCTCCGGAAGGGCTTCGCCGCTCTGGGTGCAGATGATACACCTATGGTCAGATGTGCTGCAGCAAAGTGGCTCAGGGTGCATAATATATATACAGTCTTCATGATTGAAAATTAACTTTTTGGCAGCCATTTGTCAAAAACCTGTCAAAGCAACATGTCTTGTCGGGTGGGCTACCTATCTACCGCAGACTCCAATCCGATGATCAGGATTTTGTACACTTACTCACAGTAGAAGACCTTATTGTTATCGCGAAGCAACTTACGCCACCTGAGGTAAAGGAGCAGCTGTTGAAGCAAATCAGATGCAGTATCACTGATAAGAGCTGGCGAGTGTGATATATGGCTGCAACACATTTCAATGAGGTACGTCCTTGATGCCAGATTCCACATTTATTTGGGTGACAAAAATTCATATTGGCGCTTAGCTCACAGAAGTCATCGGCACCGAGTTGGTCAGGGAGGAGTTAATAGGACAATATGTGCAGCTTTTGAAAGATAACGAGGCAGAAGTTCGCACAGCAGCTGCAGGCCAGATCCCAGGTATGATTATCAATACCACCATAGAATGCTACTTGATTCCGGCCTTGGTTTTCAGGGTTTTCGAAATTGCTCGAGAAGGAAGTCATCCTTGCACGCATCGTGCCTTGCGTGCGTGACCTCTCGCACAACGCGTCTCAGCATGTGCGAGCCACTCTTGCAAACCATACTATCAGTGGCCTTGCACCGCTCTTGGGCAGAGAAGCTACTATTGAGCATCTCTTACCCTTGTTCCTTCATCTATGAAAGGACAAATTTCCCGAAGTTCGACTCAATGTCATCAGTAATTCGAAACTGTAAATGGCGGTAAGCTCTCTGTCTCTTTGCGTGCGAATGACACTCTGAATTTTCCCATCGTCAGTCATTGTATAAGTAAGCGTGACTCGGAGGATTGATATTGACGTTGTTTGTTGCTCGACGTCCAGAACAAGATAAGGCACAGCAGCAGAAACCACATCGCCCAGCTCAAGCATCGACATCGCAGACTCAGCCTATCACCTCCTCAACGTCCATGACACATCCTGCTCCTGATATCAATACTACCACACCAGGTACACCAACCGTGAAGTCACGAATCCTCTCAGTGCTGGCTTATCTCGTGCTCTTTGTCTGTTGTACATCTACTCAACATACTACAAGTCCATTAGAAATGGTCATAAATGAGGACACAGCACGAGGACAAGTCTTTACGTTCTCAAGATGAATGATCGAAGATTCTAGACAGCTCTCCTTAACAGACTCGTCAACACGATTTCAAAAAGTGATCGCACATATTGTCCTCGTTCTCGGCTGTCTACGACCGGCGCAATCCTTATGAGTCTTATTGAACCTGTTCCACGTGACTCAATGCAGAAATACTGTGTACATTACCAGTTCTATTTTCACCATATCCTGCTAATCGCTGAGTAGCTAACTATGTGATGCGACCTCAGACTCAGGCTAACTAACCACAAGCCAACGATGCTGTTCAACCTTGACATCCAAACCTCTAGATTCTTTCCACATCTTGAGATCACTGACTTATCGCAAGGCTCTCATACTATGTTCACCATCATACCACCCTCTATTTGACTCCTGCTTCGTTCTTTGCTATATGCGACTATGTCGAGGACTGTCTGCCAATCAGTACCCGTTTTCTCCCGGCAAATGCACTTTCGAGGAGCAGGTTTCGGAGATACCTGATCGGTATCATGATTGAGGGCATCTTTAGTCTTCCTCTTGCAAGTCTGACGCCGAGCGCTGGAGACACGAAAAGCTCGAGCTTGTAGGACCCCTACACAACCATTTTCGGTTTGCTGCCGCCTCGTTAGTACATCACAATTAAGCAAGGCTGCCACAGTCACTGACCACACTTTTGTTTTCCTTCTGTTCATCAGGTTGCCCAACGCGAACGCCTGCTATGTCATGATTGCTTAACTGCTCGAGAGTTTGCGACTGCTCAAGTGGAGCACTTCGATGACGGGTTTGAAACATACAAGACTTATTCAAGCTCTCATTGGTGGGAACAGTACTAGTTGACACGGAGTATTCGATTCCATGTGACACGTCAGTGTCACCAAGCTGCACACGGGGTTTAGCGCTGGGACTACCTGTGGGAGGTGATGGAAGGGTCGGAAGATTTTCGAAGGACGAAGGAGGAGGGAGGATCAGATCTGTTGGTGAGTGTGTACTAGTAGTGAACGGGTCTGTTAAAAATAATAATCCTGATTCCCAATGAATTGACACGTCGTCACTGCTGCCAGATATAGAAAATTTGGACAATCGATCAGTGTGGACATGCATTATCATGTCTTCTGTCGAAGAGGGTTGGGCAGTTGGACAAGGGGCATAGTCAGACATAGCCAGGCTAATGTTGATTTGCAAAAATGAAGTTGGCTCCGGTGAGATCTTATAGCTGAGTTGCTAGCCTAGTGACGGCATACTCACTTGCAAATCATTGTAGATCGTTCGTTAGAAAACTTTTCTACCCCCAAGTTGAATAAAATTCTTAACTGTAATGACACCATGATCAGCTCAACGACATCTAGTAATGTGAATCCCACAAATTCCAAAATTGGTGATTGTAAATTTGTAATGAATTATAGAACACCGTCAATTTGACCCCAGGCTGTTCTGTGATGATGATCAATGACTATACCATCATGTTACCCCCCCACTGTCAAATATCTGGGGACCACCGGGCCACGGCGGCTCTTATTCACGCTTACTGAACATCATCATAACAGTGATTCGCGACTGCGACAATACATCAAATTCTGTTGCAGGCAGCCCAGCTATCGCTAGCACTGATGGCTAGCATCAGTGAACTGGTTTGATTTCATAGAGCAATGACGTACTTTCTAGCCGCGGGGCCCCATTACGATACTTGGTCATTTACAATTTCTAGTACGCTATGTACTTGTTCCCAGAATCCTAGCATCAAGTTGTGTACTATGTGCCTCGTTCAAGTTACATGAATTCTCTGTACCTGTACCTATTTAGTTTCAATAGGCACCAGGTTCAGCGCCCTCAGTGAGAGGGATATGATAGGACCCAGTCCAGACTCCAAACCATTGGCGGTGTGTAGAGTCTCGTACTAGTGCCACATACAACTACATTTCGAATACCGCACCTTGATTCAAACACCGCAATTTTTGGACTTTACACACCTAGCCGATTGCATCGAAACAATGAGACATCTGAATCCGAATAGTTAACTTAGCAGAAATGAATCCAAAATGGGACTGCATCAGTCACGTCACGCAAATTAACCTTACCGAGTTACATGTACAGTATTCAAATTATGTCGAGAGGTCAGGGATAAACATTGTCAAGCGGGTTAGTTGCAGGTTAGCACATACTAGACTTGGTCATAGTCAGTCTTGCTTGCAATTGGAAAAAGGGTGCAAATGTTATTATCTAAACACTACTAATGCTTTTCCCTGCCAAGTGCCTGGGGAACTGAAACGTTACTACCTGTGGCAGTGCTCTCAGTGAGATGCAGCAGTATGACTAATCAGGGACTGACTCAATGAGTTCTCGACTCGGGCCTCTATCGTGATGATCATCTGCAACATGTTAGTCCTCGTCTTCCTTCGCAATTGAGATTTGTACAGAGAATGATCCTTTTGTCCCCAAAATTTGGGTGCATCCTCTCAGATTACTACGTGTTCAGATTAGTCGGCCTTCGACATATGTTGAACTTTGTTCTGAATGGGCCCGGTCCATGTACTACCGAAGTTCGTTAGGCCTATCAGAAGTAAGTCTGATGCCCGTCTGGATGCCCTTATAAGGCTCATGGTTGTAATTCTAATTGTCGGTAACATTAAGTCTTACTGCCTTGTTTGGGATCAGATCCGATGGAGGTACGCTCAGTCCCGAACACCCTTGCCGCTATGCTGAAAGATTGAATGATTCGTCCTATCGGATTTCAAGGGCGTGCCTCATTGCAACTTGTTGCAAATGCTTTTACATGTGTCGCAGATCAATAGGTCTTTCCTATCGTAGTTTCATCACATTGCAGCATGGCTGGTGGAAATTGCTAGTAAGTCATTTGCGACTCGCTCAATTGCCAACTCACATCATCTTGATTTTGCAAATTTTCTAACCGCTTGGTTATGGATCCGCCCACCAACTTGAACACTCGCCAACTGCTGGTTGACGATCATGATGTACACCCCAATCAGAGCGATGATTATACATTATTTCAACCTTACTCATCGCAATGCACCGTGACACATGGTCGCCAGCATGCGGCAGCCAGTGCATCTGATTCTGCGGCTCCCCAACTGACTCAGAGTCTGCTCCCCCCCATCAATATCCCAATCTACCTAGACAGTCACGGTAGTGAGACTGATTTTCAATACCGTGACGGGTATGATCCATCTACCAATCCATACTTGCAGGGAATGCGAGCAATGTCATTGCCGTCGCCATCGCCGCCGTGGTACTTTCCAAGTTTTCCTCAGGTTCATGTCCCCCCACCGTTCTTTCAACACCGTGACAGCCTGGTGCCCGCCAACATGCAGTTCATCGAAGAAATTAGTTCCCTGTTTGCAGGCAATCTGGAGCCTGGTGTCGACATACCACCTCTTCCCCCTTTGCCTACAAACTATGGTGCACTCGCGCATCATTCCTCCAATCCCACGTACATTCTGTACAACATGGAGGCACCCGTGTCTGTTTGCCCTCCAGATACCAGTCACCCTGTGTCTCAGATGCGCGATGACATCGCGAACGTCGAGCCCACTCAAATCAAACCTCCTGAGATCATCTCTGACTCATCACTCTATCCTCCATACCTCAGTGCCTTCCTCCCTGAATTCGGTCAACTACCAGCCCTTTCTAAGGGCGGGGATGCATTGTTACCACCAGGTTGTGATGACGAGCCTCCTCTAACCCCCGACGAGGATACAGCAGCACCCCAAGAAGACTTGGTCTTTCTTTTTTATGGGGGGCCGAACGACCGATGAGGAAGGAAAGGAAAGGTGAGTGCTTCCAGGTCTCGAAAAATTATTCACTGACAACATGCTAGCGCGGGGCCAAGCACATGCCAGAGCTTCCTCATCTTAGATATAATGAAAAAATCAAGCTTTATACTAACATTGTGAACTGTGCAAAGAAGAACATCATGAGACACGCCCTCAATGTCCGCTCGTTATCGGACGAGGAAGACAGAACTGTCATAGTCGAGACCACATTGAAGGAAGCGGCCATTCGATATATGAATGGTAAGCGTGACCTCTTTCTTGACCGACATCTTGTTTATGCGTTGACAGCCAAAGGATCCCAGTGGGCATCATACAATTCCGGGCAGTTGTACATGACGTTGTCTGAACCGTGCAAAACTATTATGCACAGTTGCCATAAAAATGCCTGCAATCTCGTCAAGGATGGATTCGATCTGCGGCTTTCTATATGGTCCCAAGCTTCTGAACGCGAGCATATGGAAAATGCCATCACACACCTCCTCGACGATCAGGTTTTCCCCCCTAATTTCATTATGGGGCTGGGCACAGATAACCTGTGGCACTTCCTTGAAAACAAGGTCGTGCTGAATGTCATGTTGGACACTGTTCGGGAGCTCAATCTCAGCTGGCAGCTGACGGATGTCAATAGTCTTGCTTGCACGGCTGCTGTTGCAGTTTGCTATGCCTTGGAGAGAGTGAGGCCCAGTGGGGGTGACATCCCCGATAATGAATTTTCGGGTGCAACCTTCAAGGACTTGTACACAAGACTGATGAATTACATTACAGAGGTAATCAATAAGTGTCCGATTTTGCGGGCACAATGGGAGCTTTACAAACAGCTTATCAAGGATAGGTTGACTCAGCCTTGATTATTACGGTCTCCGACCTTCAGCTACGTATACTAGTGTTTGACGTTCGATCAAGGTCTTGCTCAGTTTGTTTACTCGAGCATATGTAGTACATAGCCTTCAATGACATCATGTACAAAATTTGTCAGCGGAGCAGGTTGTCCTGTGTGAGCTCGCCTGCAAAAATCCCCAAGACTACTACCTTCCGCTTGCCCTGCAGCTCTTCCATCTCTTAACCACATCGTCTAACAACTGGATGCTCATCAAAATCATCAAGTTGGTATGGACCTTACTTGCTTTGTATGAGCCTTACATACTCTTTACTCTTATTAGTTTGGTTCTCTCTCGCCTCATGAACCGTGGCTCGTAAAGAAATTGCAACCACAGAGTCCGCATGCGTGCGCTAGATCTGCTTTCAGCACTCGTAAGTTATCCTGAGTCTTCTTCTTCCAGTCTAATACAAGCATTGCAGGTCAATCGAGACAATCTACAATCAATTGTGCAGCAGGTGTTGTCCCATCTTGTCAAGCCCGAGTCTTCTGCCATTCCGTCTGTGGTACAATCCCTATCTCAGCACATCATCCCGTCAGTGGACGGGGAGCTTCCTCGAAGACCTCAAGACAGCTGTTGATATCATGATCAAACAGATGGAACAATTTGCGTCAAGCACCCAGATCCCCTGCTTCAAAGTTGAGGGCGGATCGATCGACTCAAAGACCCACTGTTTGTTGTCAAGTATCGCTGAATTGCTCCTTTACCCAAAACTGATGTCTATGAAAGTTATGCTAGTAGGGTCTCGAGCAAATACCCAGGACTTGATGCTTGGATATAGCCTGCCTGCCTTTTCGAAGGGCAACCCAACCTCATTCCTTGCTGGAATGGCACATGCGAGCGGGCTTATCAAAAAGGTGGGTTTTCCGAGGACTCGATTCAAGCATACATCGATGTCTGTGGCATGCAGCGTGGTGTCCTAGACCATGCAGGTGCAGCGCGTATTGTCCTCAGGGATTGGAGTATCGGAAAGTTCTCGAGATATACCATGCCACCACTGGCAGGGTCATCTGCTGGTGTTGTCATCACGCCACAACTGTTACTAACTCCCGCGCCATCCTCACGGCACCAAACTAGGGCACAAGTACAACAAAGAAGAAACGAACAGTGAACCACAATGACTACTAGTCTGGGCCAACCATGGAGTCACGGTACTAGTACTAAGTCTTTTTTCATAATCACGCAGTTTACTTAGTGCATCCGCAGATAATTTCCGTCTGTCAATAGCAGGATCAGGAGCCGAGCACGTCATACCTGTCAAACATTAATTTTCCTCCTAAATAGTATTGTTGTGCTAACATTGTTATTTAGTGACATCCTAAATAGGATTATGTGTTTTAGGCTAGTACCACGAGGTTGGACTCCCGCCTAGTATATAGGATGGGCTGGGATAGAACCAAGCTCATCTCGCGCTTTCCCCTTCTTCAAGAAACCCTCTTCTGATTCTTTATATATCTCATTCATCACCATGGTGCACGTCGAGCACCAAGAGGGCGAAGCCAGCGCGGCAGAAGCAAACTCGGAGGGCCAGCAGGATGAGCCCAGCTGTGATTCCACGCCAGCGGCAGCAGCGTCTCTACAGGCTCGACAAAGGCGTAAAATTGCGCAACTAGAGGAGAAGTTGGAGGTTCTTGAGGCAGGGCATGCATCTAAAGAAAGGTACCGTCGCTTATTCCATGGATGAAGCTTGCTTTACTCACCATCGGTTAGGAAAATGAACCAATATATGGCTCAAGGAAGGGCAATTAGGCGTGTTGTCGCTTTGTTTGACAATATTGCGGATCTTGTCACCGAAAATGATTGAAGACATGAGCTGACTGGCGATGAAGAAACTAATGTAGAGTAAGTCTTTCTCCCTTCAGGCCAGTTCATGACTGCTAAACATGCGCTCGTTTATACAGCCAAGATCGTCTGCAGGTAGGGTATGTCACTCTCACCCTTACCCTGCCATGGTGTCATGAGCAGGCCGTGGAGATGGATTATGACGAGTATTTGCACATGATGAAAATGGTTGCTTTCTACATTCTAGTGATAGGCTTCGTCACGTTCCTGACATCTCTTTAGCTTCAGCAGGGAGCTGATGGTGCTCGAGGTGACGATACTTCGAAACTTAAGGCACTCGTTTCCGAGTGAGTAAACCGAGAATTCAAGCCAGATTGCTTGATTGACGCTGACGACAAGCATTTATGCGGATTCACGAACAACGCATGCGGTAGGTTGCTTTGCCCGGCAGAATTTGACTGGAATGACCCAGTGTAAGTAATGTACTCAGAATACTGTGAAAAGACGCTTATTGTTCAGCAGCACCAGAGCAGGAATCCGAGACTGCACAGAGGGATATATTGTGACGGATCTGTCCTTGCCAGCCTTCCTATATGACAAGTACAGCGCCAATTCAGATGATCTGGAGGAGGGGCTTTTCAAAGGCAAGATTCTTCTTCAGGCTAGTATCGCCCGAGTAGCTCGATAGTGATCTTACAATATTTTCCAGGCTTACAAAGCCGTATTCACGTCGCCTTCGTCAGCCAAGGACGTCGAGGGCAATGGTGATGGGTCGGATATCATTCGAAACAACAGACTCACCAAGAAATCTGCTGCTGGTGTCAAAGTCAAGAAACATGTAGCGGAAACCATTAAGATGCGCAAAGTCTCTCCTCGCTCTATCGCCTACATTGCGTGCCAAGTAAGTTCGTTTGACGAGGTCAATGATAGACATTATGACCAAATTTGCAGGTTCGATTCGCACTCTCTTCTGTCACCTCGTGGTGGTCCGTTGATGGGGATTTTGATTACATCCAATTTTGGCGGACCATCGTGGACTTCTTTGAATGACCCCCAGGAAGAGAAGCACGTCAAAGGGTCGAGAGACTCGTGGAGTGGTGGACTAGGTGTGTTATGTAGTGCTCCCGCTGTCTAAATAAACCTCATCTGACCTTCGTTGTTCAGGAAAGTGTTTGGAAGGAGTCAACGCAAAGCCCTTAGCGCAACAGCAAAGGCAAATATGTCCGTCAATGCTCTTGCAAGGCAGAGGGCACAGCGTGATGATCACATGTTTGATTCACCCTAAACTTCCCTCATAATTGTGGTATTCTGTATATTGTTATTTTGCTATTAATAATGTCATAATTGCTGGAACACATTGAAACTATGAATAGTCTGCAGAACACAGTTGAGCCCTCCATGTGTTCTATGGGCTGGATCTAGAACATGCAGCGTGATTATGCCTAGGTCTGTATTTTTTAGTGTTCATGCTAATATCCCAATTCTAGAGGCAATTAGCAAATACACCTGCATACCTTCAATGAGTTGGATCCAGGAAGTGCAGCGTTACTATGTCTTTATCTGTATTTAAAAGTGTTCATGTCAATAGCACAATTCAAGCACCGGATCGCGGACATACCTATATATGTTCGATAGACTGGATCTAAGACCTACAGCACGACAATGAGGGTCTCTATGTTCTGTGCTCTCACACTACTTACGATAGTACAGAAAGCATCGGTCTGTGATATTCACAGTCGTGGGTTGTCGAATGTAAAGTAAGACCTACAGCACAACAACGAGGGTCTCTATGTTCTGTGCTCTCATGCTACTACCGATACAGAAAGCATCGGTCTGCGATATTCACACTCACGGATTGTCGAATGTAAAGTGAGGTACCGAAGTGAGGCATTACCCTCGACTGCAAAATTTTATTCTGATGTACTATGCATTAATACACGATGAGTCCGGAAAACAGTCCCAACTGACATACCAATGCTAGTCATTATTTGCCCAAACTAGGTCGCTTCAATACTCAAGGCATTATATAAATTGAGTGTTTCCTGCTCAATCAACATATGCTGCGTTATTGTCAAATGCTTCAGCATGTTCAAACACATTGGTCAGCGAGCAACGACAGATGGCCATTGGACGTCTAAAACAGACGACGCCAGAATGCCCTTGTCAAGAACTCTTCCGATGGTGCACAACGACATGGGATTGTGTCGACGCATGGTGCAATGCTCCTTACCCATGTCAAGTGGTAAGCGATTAATGACAGACGGTCATTAGGTGTCTGAAAGAAACAGTGTTAAAATCAGAATGAATGCTTAACTTGCTATTGAATTGACTTGGCAAACGCATACCGACTGCTGGCACAGGTACGGCTTTCTCGCACGGCTTCCCAACTGATATATAGGCGACAAACATCAGATATACACAATGAATCGCCTTTGAAGTCGAAGCACGAACTGATTTTTGTAAACTTCAATGTAGTATTTGAATGAAGACTTTGAGATAATTAATTGGACTGAATTCCTACTCGAAATAATGCTACAGTATATATAATAAGGTACGCTAAATGTAAGTACCCGGACCATGTATATGTAATTGCGGACTTGTCTATGGTCTGCGAGTCGATGAAAAATAATGTCCGTTTCGGACATTACTGGTTATTTGTTCCCTACATTACTAATTCTTCTACATATTACTAATCTTTCCTTGTTGTGCTCGTACCTCTATCTCCAATATGTGCTAACTCCTACACTCCCCGTCGAGCACAACCTATTCCCATTTCATCTCTCAATCTTTCAAGTCTCGGCCTTGGCAATGCTTTCGTGAAAGCATCTGCGAGGTTATCGTCTGTTGGTATGTATTCTAACTTTATCGTGTCATTTTCAATGACTGATCTGATAAAGTGATAGCGTATATCGATATGCTTTGTTCTAGCGTGGAACTTGTTGTTTGAGGCGAGGGCAATGGCGCCTTGGTTGTCTGAATAGATGGTGATAGGTGCGTCCTTTCTTTTATAAAGTTCTTTCAGTAATGACTGAAGATATAGCACTTCCCTCGTTGCAGACGTTAGCACGATGTATTCGGCTTCGGCCGTTGATAACGCTATAATCATTTGCTTCCTTGCGCTCCAAGCTATTGGCGATCCGTGCAGCAGGACTAGGTATCCTGATATGGAGTGCCTGTGGGCTTGGCTTGCCCAATCCGCGTCCGCATAAGCCTCTAGATCTTTCTCCCCCCCCCCCCAAGGTAAGTTTTCCCTTCTTTGTTGCCTTCAGGTAACGGATGACGCATTTTGCTGCCTCCCAGTGTGACTTCGCCGGTTCTCGCATGAATTGCGACAGTACCGACACTGCTAGTGCTATGTCCGGCCTAGTACAAGTTGCTACGTACATTAGCGATCCAATCGCTCTCTGATACGGTACGTGTTGTTCGGATATTTCAGATTTGGTGCCTGGCGAATGGTCTGACTGTTCTTTTGTCAGTTGTATCCCAGTCTCCATGGGAATATGCGCCGGTTTTGCGTCTTCGAGGCAGAAGTGTTCGACAATTGTGTCGACATATGCCTCTTGCGACAGCGTTACGGTTCGCGCGCTTTGGTCTCTCTCTATCTTGAGACCCAACAACCAGGTAAGCTCTCCCAGGTCTGTTATCTCAAATTTCTGGCGCAACTGATCTTTAAACTTCTGTATATGCTCCAGATGCTTTGATGTTATGGCCATGTCATCAACCGATACTGTTACGACGGTGTGCTCATCCTGTTCCCTCCAATAGTACACCGCTCTATCAACTTGCGAGCGTGTGTATCCGGCTTCGAGGAAAAATTCTTCTAGCTCCTCGGACCACTCAAACCTGGCTTGCTTCAAGCCATATAAGCTTCTCAGCAGCTTCAAGACCTTTCCTTCCTCTCCCTTCTTCAAGTATCCGGATGGTGCCCACATATACACGTCGTCCTTGAGTGTAGCGTTTAGGTAAGCACTTTTTATATCCACTTGGTGCATCTCCCAATCATTTCTTGCAGCCATTGACAATACTGTCCGAATCATTGTCATATTTGAGGTAGGGGCAAATGTTTCTTGATAGTCGATGCCGTATTCTTGATGCTGACCATTTGCAACTAGATGTGCTCTCAGCTTGACTTTCTCCCCATCAGGTCCTCATTTCGTCGCTAAGACGAAATGACACGGTATGATGTTGGCTCCTCTTGGTGCGTCTACTTTCTCCCATGTTCCAAGTTTCTCCAATTGACTAATCTCATAGTCTATGGCCTGTTGCCATTCATCCGCATCCGGTCCGCTTAACGCTTCCTTAAGCATTGGTTCTCTTTGCGCAGCTGCCATGGCCATATATGAAAGATTCATTTGAGTGTCGTCTGGTGAGTCTTCTGTTGCTATATTAGCTCTCTCTCCTTCATTCAAGGCTTTATAGTATCCTGCAGGTGGTCGTACTCTCGTGGCCTTGGGTGTTATTGGATCCGGCAGTTTTTGTACACTCTGGGGTGGTGTTTTGGGAGGTTGACCTGGTGTTTGGGGGAGTTGGGGAGTTTGTGCGATGGGCTGGGCGATTTTCGGTGCGTTGATTTGTTCTTCCTGGTTATACTCCCCCTCGTCCAGTACATTGTCACGAACAATGACATCTGGTGGGACAAAGCTAACGTTGTGTTCTATAGATACCCGTCTCTTCATCGGCCAAAAAATTTGGTATCCTTTGCTTTCATTGTCCACTCCCACAAACAACACTTCTTCTGCTCTGGCTTCGAGCTTTCCATGATCTGGTGAGTGCACATATACTCTGGTTCTGAATTCTCTTGCTGCCGCTAAGCTTGGTTTAGTTTTGTGCATCAATTCGAAAGACATATGCCCAGGAATGGCACGAGACGGTAAGCGATTCTTTAACCATGCCGCATAATTAATAGCCTCAGCCCATAAGAAGTTCGGAAGGTCCTTGGCGATGAGCATGGCTCATGCATGTTCGACCAGCGTTCGATTGAGTTGTTCAGCCACACTGTTTTGCTGTGGCGAATCATGTACTGTGAGTTGTCTCATTATTCCTTGATCTTTCAGGTATTCATCAAAATCTTTGCTCAGATATTTGCCTCCTCGATCTGAACGAACTTTGTTCAGATGCGCTCCGTGTTGATGGCTGACATAAGCCTCGTATTGCTTGAATGCGGTAAGTGCGTCGCTTTTCTTCTTCAGAAATTCTATCTTCGTCTCCCTGCTGTAATCATCAGTAAAACTGATGTAATATAGACATCCTCCTATTGTTGCTGTTTGTGCAGGTCCCCAGAGATCAGTATGGACCAATGCACCATAGGTACGAGATTTGGTTCTGGATTCTTCGTGAAATGATTGATGGATTGCTTTGGCCTGTGCACTGGTTTCGCAATATTCCAGTTTTGATTCTATATCAAGATCTAGACCCTGGATTAATCCTTTCTTCACAGCGTCAAGTATCGCAGTCTGTGACACGTGTCCTAGCATCCGGTGTGCCTCGAAAACGGTTTGTTTTGTCTTTACTGTGTGTGCTTGATGCTGATTTTGATCTACAACGCTGTATAACCCGTTGACTTGTGGAATAGCAGCTATGGTCCGTCTTTCTGGTGCTGCTGTCAGGATTTTGCAGAGTTTATCCTCGAATAGGATAGCGAATCCTGCCGTTGCAATATGATTTGTCAAGATGAGTGTAAAAGCCATTTTTGGAGTATAGAGAGCATTTTTGAGTGTAATGCTTGTTTTCTTATCTCCCAGAGGAAGATCTATGCTAACATCTCCTCGTCCTATGGCTTTGACAATAGATCCATCTGTGGTGTGTACGTCTTGGGCCTCGATTGGCTCAAACATTACAAACTTTGACCTATCTGGGCAAAAATGGGACGTAGCGCCAGAGTCAATAATTGCTCCGCGCTTTTCGACTGGTATGTCTATCTTCTTCGCAATATTCGCTAGATCTGACGTTGCAAACACATAATCATTTGCTCTTTCGATCTTGTCTGCAGTGTTTGCCGTTTCCTTTTGGCCTTTCTTCGTCTGCCTTGGTCCTTGTCCCTCCTTTCCGCC